CTAGGTTGAATCCTGTATTTCTGTGCTTTTGATAGCATCTGGGAAACAAAATGGGAAAGCTTACAACATACTCACAGCATCAAATGAGCCTTATCTTTCTCCCTAATAGGGACTGTCCTGTGCAGGTCTACTTGGTCTTTTCCTTTTGTATTTTTGGTACTACAATAGTTCTAGTTCAGGAAGTGGGAGGCAAAAAAAATTTTGTTGTTGTGACAAAGTGGTCTGGAGAAAGCTGCAAAGTTCATTTAGGAGTCACAATCAGAGGCAGCAGCATGGGTGTTTTTATCAATTTTACTAAGCTTTTGTATACTTACACATTTCCTGTAGTTAACTTTCACCACCAGAAAACAGACTCCAAGCAGAATGCCCTGAAGTTAGTTTTCCACCATTCCCCCAGCAGTGGAAAGGCACAGGAAGGAGATACAAGCATTTATGGAAGTGAAGCCCTACCAGTGTTGAGACATAGATGTGTTCCCGTACATCAAGCAAGAGAGATGAGAGGTGGCCTGGTGCATGTTTCTGCATTCCCACTGTCCCCAGCTATGCCATGGTTCCCCAATGGTTGCAGAAGGCTTGTGTGCTCATGCTGCTATGGGTTATCATAACTCCAGGTAGACCTCCACTTGCAGCATTGTGCTGCTGCAGTTCCATGCAATGAAATGCAGATATAGAATACCAGAGTCATCTCAGGCATAACACCTTTCTGCCCTCATGGCTTGCTTGTTTCCTGTGTTATAATTTACACTATATAGTTGTCCAGTCACCTTTAAAGTCCTAAGTACTGGAGTTTACAGCTTTTGCTTTTGAAGATTATTTCACAATTAAAATTATCTTGCTGTCACAAAGGTATTATTGATATCCATCCTAAAATTTCCTTTTCTTAATTTTATCTCACTATTCCTAATTAAATGCTCATGTGAAAAATTCCTTCCCACAACTAGAGACAGACTGTGGCTGATCTTTCATGCACATGCCAGCTAAATAAGAAACAAAGAACCTGAATTTCCCCTTGCCTGTAAGATAAATGCAAAACTAGCACCAAGAAAATACCTAATCAATATTCTTTCAAATTTGAAATGATGAGTGTGTTAATATACAGTTAGTTTGAACTCAGATGCTGTAGAAAACATGAAACAGAACTGAAAATAAATAAGCAGTGAGAGACAAATAGAAGGTCTAAGGTTTTTTAAAAGCCTTTACTGCTCTTTCATACTAAATATATCATGTCACAAACATGTCTTTCAATCTCTCTTTGAAAATGTATTGCCACACTTAAATATCCCCATTATTTTGTGGTGCTTCTTGTACCTGACCAGTACAACAGCTTTCTGAAGTGGTTAAGAAGTAATTCAAAAGCCTTATTTCTGATAACTTAGTAGTAACATATTATTAATTGAAGCAAGGATTTGCACTCAGGCAAGGTGATTAAAAAATCTGCATTCAGACCTTTGACTAAAAGTCATCAGTACTTTGTACAATAATAAGAGATTACTCCATGTTTTCCTGGTTAAATTCTGATTTACCTCTATTGTGTTAACTTTCCATTTTCCTGTAGTTTCAAATTGAAAGGGCTGTTTTTTAATACCCCTTATCAAAAATGACTGCAATGTGTTTTTAGTACACAGCAACTGGTTTGGTAACACATATCTCAGACACTGAGCCTCAACACTGAGTGGAACCATGGGTGAGACACTTCAACCTCTGAATACCCTGCAGGAAATAAAAAAGTTATATTAATATATAAATCTAGTAGTGTAGACACTTTTTGTTAAAATATGTATTTGTATTCTGAAGTTTACTCTTCAGAAATCCATGTTGTTCCATATATTGTGTTTATCTCAGATTCAATGCAGAAAAGCCAGATTAGAGAACTGAGACTAAAAAGGACTAAACTAACAACCCTAAAGAAGTAAAAAGAACCTTTAAAGTATGAAATGACAAACATTTAAAATAGCTTTCTTTAAGATCTCTGGAGAGAGATCAGTCTTCAAAAATTTATTAGTTTTAGAAAGCAGAGTAAACACCAGCTACTAAAAAATTACGTTATTTTCATTCTTTTTTGCTGCTTGGAACAGAGAAGCTCCACACAACTAATTGCTGAAACATTCTTTTTCCTACATCATGCATGGCTGGATTTGTGGATTTGCTTCAACCCTAACTCATGTCAAAGAATGTTGTGTACATATCCCTCTCCCAGTTCATCTCAACAGGGTGGATTTTATCTGGGGACAGTTAGTAACATGATGCTGACCTGCTAACATGATTTCAGGGTGGATGAGGAGAACACATGTCTGGATCATGGACACTAGGGATGTGCACTTCTGTGGATTTCAGGTGGAAAGCTCTGCCAATTGGAAAGGGCCTTGTCTGGAGTAAAGCCAACCAGGCAGTGAAATTTTTATAAAAACCAAAAATCTGTTTTGTTAGAGGCCTACAGGCAACTTGTATGTAAACCAGGTGTAGTAATAGCATAATTATATATTAACATAATTTTTTTCCCTTAGGTGTGATGTGACAAGGTAAGCATGTAAGGTTGAGACTGGTAGCAGAAAGAGTCTTCTTGTGAGTTTTCACAAAGCTTAACTGGTAGTATTTTCATGCTGGTAGGTTTTATATTGTTTGTTGCTGTATATCATCATGGCCCATTTCAAATTTCATTCTTAAAAAAAGGAGTGCCCTATTAATTCTGGAAAATGTAATCTCAAAAAAGGGAAAGTTTTACAAATTGTTGGAAGTTCTGTGTTTCTCTACATCTCAACCTCAAAATTTTTAACAGTAGGATCTCCACCCCATACTACATAGAAAATTATTTATTGAGAATTTATGTTTATTTTAGCATTTTCCATTCCTGTAATCAGATAAAAACTATAAGAGGAGGATAAATATTAAACTACAGCATTTCTATCCAATATCAATAGAGCATATTTTTATCAAATGTGTGACTTTGGGACAAAATAAATACCTGATGTACTAAAATAAGGCAGATGGGGCAACTCATCAAAGGCAGGTCAGAGGCTGGAAGAATTAGCACAGGACTCTTATGCTAGACTCTTAGACCCACCTCTACTTGATATGTTTTTGAATTCCAATAGGAATCACAAAAACAAAACCCTGTGCACTTAAATACTGAGTTTAGAATTTCAAATCACTAGTTAGACAACTTTTAAAACCTGGTGAGAAGATGTAGCTTAGGAACAGATTATGCAAAACACTGAAGCACAGACATTTGCTTGGACAATGAAGACAGTGACTCATCTTTGGAGTACTAGGTTCACTATTTAACTCTTCAAATCATAGTTTCCCTGATTGGAAATAGAAAAGGCCCCTACAAAGCATGGGGCTGAACATCCTCACTTCTTCTTTTTAATGAGGATCGGTGAATTCAGCACCTTGTAATAACTGGGTTATGTTTGAGGAACTACAGTCCTGTGTTTTGCTGTAATTTGCTGTAAAGCTGAGAAAATCTTCCCTCAGTAAATTGTGGTTGGAGAATTATTTGCACAGTGAAAGTAAAATTTTGATACTATAAGAACCAGGCCTATATGCTGCAGTCTTATCTAGTGTTTTATCCAAAACACATAAATAAGATGTCCTGATTGTTTGGGGAATACCCCACAAGTACATCTACACCAAATATTATTGTTCTGCTCTAGCAAAAAAGGATATAAAAGTAGGAAGTCTATTTCTATGGTCTGTCTCAAGACACATAGCAGCAAGCCAGCAAGATGGCTCAAGAAAGGGAGAACTAATGACCACTTGACTGTAGCTTTGCCTAAGGGAGTGAGAGGATGGGAGTCCCTGGCTGTTCCAGATCTCTTTGCAGCAGATGTGGAGCTGTTGATCCAAGAACTCTGCAGGACTGCCAGGTGGTCTTAGGACAAGAAGCTAAAATGACACCTCTCCCCTTTCTTCCTCATATGCTTTTCAGAAGGTGGTTGTGGCTTCACAACATGACATTTTTGTAGTAGAACCTGCTCAAGATGTTGCAGTCCTGATTTCTGCACCTTACATGCATCCTGTGCAGCAGTGCTGCCATTTCTAAGTGACCTGGCAAACAGAGATTATTCCTTTAGTTTGGGAAGGATGAATCACTGTTCCCGGTGTGCCTTCTAAGCACACATTCTCTGCACCACCTGCCCAAGGCACTGCAGGTCTGTCTTGAGCTTTCATTTCCTCTGTCAGCAGTAGCTCGTTCTTGCCCCATTGTAGCCCAGCTGGAAGAATGACTGCTAACACGGGGGAGCCTGCTCGAGAGGTCACAGACATATAGCAGGTTCTCTCATGCTCTTTCTCATATTCCAACAGGTCCCGGGGCACAGAGACATTTTAGGACTAGATGGGCAGGGAAGTGAGACAGCCATGAAAAAAGTGAGGGTTGTCGTGGATTCAATTTCTCCTTCGAGCTGTGATCAACTCCTAGGATGCTTTGTAAGACAGTTAGAGCTTATCTAAGGCAACATAAGCTCCCAAGAGATGTGTTCACACTGTCTAATTTTAGACATCTAATGTATGTGCTCTGCTAGGCTTCTGAACAATCCTGTCCCTTTCTCCATTAACTCTGTGGGAGCTCAGGCATCCAGGCTCTCCCCAGGCTCTTCTGCGTTGTCTCCTGCATTTACAAGTCCTCAGTGGTCCAAAATATTGAGAATATACATTTGAGAAGCTCCACGCTCTTGAACTCCAGCAGCAGGGGCTGCTAGCTAGTGCAGGGAGCAAAAATCCCCCAGCATTTCTTCTCCTGATGGACCAACCCCTGAGGGGGAGGGTATGAGTGGGGCTGTGTGTGTGCTTGCACCAATATGTTCTTTGTGGTATTCATCTAAAAAGACCCCTTTTACATAAATGGCCATGCCTGAGTTTCTTCTGTCTTCCAAGGGAATGGCAAAGGAACTCATGAGGCTAGGATTGTTATATCAAAGACATACAGGATGCAATAAAAAGCCTACGAAATGAACATTTTTTTGTGCTTTCCAAGAATGGATGATTCATTTATGAAGTGTTTATCTCCCATTTTATTCTTGAATAGGTTGTGATCTATCTTGCAATTGCAAAGTGCTTCAAATCTTATCCTTTAGTGACTTCATGTTGATGTGAAAATGAGATGCACCAGAGGCTGAAGACTTTTCACTTTATAGGTTCTAGAAGCAAATTGTTATTTATGACACACAGGTGATCTTCATGTGACTATCTCTCCATGTATCTGGTTCAGTGACAGCTGTTGGCAAGGAAGATAAAAAGGAACTATGTATTTCAAGAAGACATGAGAGAAGTAAAAGAAAAGAAAAGGAGAGTATCTTCATAATCAATGAGCTGTTTTTAAAAAAATATTGCATTAAAGAAGTTTCAGGACACAGAGGGCTTCTTCAGAAATATTCAGGAACCCTGCAACACTGTTGCATGTGTGGCAACTTCTCAGAAGAGATATTCTGGAGGTATGCTCATGCAGAATGATCACCAGCAGAGTTTTATCAGGGTATGCTTATGGTGCATGAACCAAAGCAAGCAGCCCTGATGGACCAAAGGTGAATATGGAGCTAAAGAAATCCTAGTAACAAGACTTCTATTGTAGTCTGAGGATTTTTCCTGTAAGTGTGGTTTTTTTTGTTTTTTTTTGTTTTTTTTACTGTACTTTAAATCTTAACCAAATGGTTTTTTGGGTAAAACAATAGCAGTCTTAGCAAAAATGTTTTGTTAAAATAAAAAGAGTACAGTCTGAAAACAAAACCCATTTCAGCTTTTGGAAGAAGAGAGGAAACCTAAGAAATCTAAGAGATCTGCATTTCTTTCCCCCAAATTATTCTTGGCTATATATTGTAACACTCACTTTTTATTTATTGATAACAATTTTGAAGTACTGTAAGCTCATGCTTATGGTACTTCATGATAATCCACATGCTCTATCACAGTCAATTAGCTTACATTGTGACTAGTGGCTGTAGTCTTTAATACATGTGTGGGGCCTAACACAATTATCTCCAGTTATGGGAAAGTCTTATAGAAGTCAATAAGAGCATCAAATGAATGAGGGCTTCAGGAGTGTTTGCTCTGCTGAGTATTTTGGAGAAAATAAACCTCAAACTACCAGAAAATCCAAACCCAAAATAAGGAATCAATTCAAATTCCAATCAGAACTCCCTGCTTGCCTTCTTAGAAAGTCCGGAACAAATGCTGGATTTATTTTCCCATCTAAGTAGAGGTAAACATGCAGGTAAAACTCCTGTCAAATGGCCAATTTAAGAAACCACCAAAAAACTTGGTGGATACTTTGTCAATTTCCACGTTACAGATCTTCCTTGTGACACCGAATTCAAACATAGTGTCCAAAGCCACATTCTTGTCCACCTCTGACCTGAATAAGGCTGACAATCCTGCTCTCCTAACTTCATGCATGTTAAAAGATGAAAACACATCCTCTTAATCAGACCATCAAATATTTAAATAGCTTTTGATTGCATTGTTTTAGTAAAGGTAGTTGGATGATTGCATACAGGGTACAGGAAAAGCATGTCTTTAAAATACTGCAGCCAATGTAATTTACCAGAAATCATCTTGGCCCAGGATAAGTTCTAAAGACCACTTTAAATTATAGTAAGATATTTATTTCCAGGAACACTACTCTCTTTGACACAAATTTCCCCAAAACTATTGACATATAAGTAGTTGGTCCAGAGGTTATGGTCTGCATATGTTAATTGTTCTTTAAAGTGGTAATTGAGTGTTACCCATCTCTCAAAAGTAAGAAATATATTGATAAAACAGTAGTAAATTTATCTGTGCAAACACATACTCATGAGAATACTCTGGTCATACTATAATAATGAAAGATAGGCAGTAGCATAAAACCTTTGGAATATCTCCCAGCATTCTAATTTATTGTAATCTGAGAAACGAAATTAAATACATACCAGTGTATGCAGGTTTATTTTGTCACAACACAGTAAATTGCAAAACATTACCTAATATTGGTAACTAGAGTAATGTCCTCCACATGCTGCAGCACAGGGGTTCTTTTGGGTCAGCCTGTACCTGTCTCTGGTCCCATTAGCCTTCTGTCAGATTGTTCCTGAACACTCTGTGTGGAACATGCAATGCAGAAAATAGACCAGGAAAGCACATAAGAGAGGGATCTATGCAAAACAATTAGGTGTCCTTCAGTACTTTTGTTTCCAAATGAGAACTGTTTTTACTCAGCTGAAATATCACAGATATTTTACTGTGATATTGTAGACCAGAAGGAAGATATTAATCTTATTTTTTCACAGGCATTACTGTCCTAAAGCAATGAAGAAAGCCAGTAAATTTGCCTAGGCTTTGCCTCTGGTTTCATTTTTTCAGGATAAAGTAGGTTCTTTCCTGTTATGCTGGATAGAGTTTGAACTTGTTTATTCCATTCTTATTTTGAACATATAGGAAAATATCCCTGCTGTCATTGGAAAGAGACTGTGAAACAGAATTTATTCCTCAGTGAAGAAAAAAAGAAAAATAAAAAAGGGCCTTTACTTCACATATGCTAATCAAATTAAAGGTCTAGTCTAATCATACAGACTGGTACTTGAGGAATCTTGATCTTCAGAGTTTATCTTGACCATGAACACAGTACTGGGTTTTTTTTGTGACCAGTCCTTCCAGGACATTATGTACTGGACCCAGGAAGTATTTACACTCAACAGTGCTCATCTAACTGCATTGAGGCTGACACTCTCTGAATTTGTAGCAGTGCCTTCATTCTGGTAACAGTAGACTGAGAAAAGGTTAAAATAAAATAAAATAAAAAAAACAGGCAAATATTTCTTCCAGAAATGTTCTGAAAAACACACCAACTTGTCCCTTAAAACTTGGGTAAGTATCATAACTTATTACTTGATTTGCATGCCTCTAAATACTAATGACTTTTTACATGCTTTTTTTCCCCCCACCATCAGTAATTGCACATTGACCTGCCATGCAAAAGACATACATTGCAAAAGACATGACCTTGCAAGGTATTTTTATGGCATCAAAGTCACAATTTTAGTGCCTTTTCCTCATTGGGTTGTGATTTTCTGGCAGCAGTTGGGAGAAGTTGGCAAAAGAATAGGCCAAGTACTTCAGTGGCTGCATGCTGAGACTTAGCTGACTTGACTAAGTTCTGACCTCTTGGATGGGTGGAAGGGCTGCTGAAAATGGAACATGAGATAGAATTAAGTGCATCTCCTTCTGGCCTTGCTGAAGTAGAGGTCTCTCACAGTACTCTTTAATCAGGAATGCAGAATACCTGTTGAAGGTACTTCATAGATATTCGTGTCCATCTCCTTAGCTTTGCAGTCCTCAAGAAAAGGGAAGTAGCTATTTGAAGAAGTATAGGATAGCTGTGACAATTAAGCCCTTCACAGAGGACTGCAAAGACTATCACGTGTGTTTAGAAACTTACTTAAGAATGATCCTAACTTAATTAGTATAGGTTTCTAAATATGCATCTGCATTGGGTTTTCCAATGTAGAGAAACAAAATTGCTACATAATGGCAGAGTACAGGGTCTCATTAGCCTGTTCTGCCTGGAAATTAATAAATTAAGCTATCTGGAATGGCCTGGAAGCTGCTACTATATTCAAGATAATGAAAAGCAATTTTGAAAAAAATTACAGGTTTTGTGCTATTAGGCTGACCCTGCAGCACAACACATTACTTTTGTGGCTTTCCATGCCTTTTTTCTTTCCTTGTGCTCAGTATGCAGATGAGATCTCTTAGATTAGGACCTCCATTCCCAAGGAAGAATTAAGGAATTCACTTGCAATATATCATCTAAGTGCATTGCACACTTTTGCTATTATATGGGTTTGCCCATTTCAGAAAACCATGCTGGTGTTGGAAGGCCAGAGATCACTCATGGCACCTGCACTGCTCTGTCAAATGCTGATGTCCATTATCTAAGATTTCATTTTCTGAATATTAAGATAAAAGCCTCTTCAACCAAATAATGGCTAGCTTCAGGAAATAGCACCAGGAATGAAGGAACACAGGTGCTAAAGAACTACTTGCTATGTTGGTTTAAAGCTTATCAATTCTCATTATTGTACAATAAACAAAATAGTAATCTCTATGGGATAACATACTAATTTTTCCTTCTATTAAAAGTGGATTTACAGTAGTAATCTAAATTATTTCAGCAGCATTGATCTAGATATTGCTTCCAAAGTCTGGAGGCAGAGTATGTAGGAAAGCGCCTTTTGAAAGGGCTTTTTAAAAAAAAGTCTTTCACAAAAATCAACCTGAATTACAGCTCCATATTTCCTACTGCATTACCAGACAAATTAAAAACACAGTGCATGACAGTGCAAAGGTGTTTACTGGTGAGTATGTTAGAATGAAAAAAATTAGTGGGAAAGAAAAGAGAGCATCTAATCACTGTAAGTGATCTTCAGATGATAGATAAAGTTAGGGGGAAAGATACAAGCAAACAAAAATACAGTGGAGCGCAATGTGCTAAACTTATCCCAAGTTAACTCTGGCCAGTCTTCCAGTATCTGGTTGTCAAAATATGTTTAATGGGGAAAGAATGAAAAAACAAATTAAGTATAAAATCTGTTCTAGAACATAGTACATTGGTTCCGTTTGGTTAAATCAGTATGCCTTCTGTAATGGTATTCTTTGAGATCAATTACTCATTATTGCACTGGCAGTCAAGCTATAATCCTTGCCATTTTTCTGACCACATTCATCACCCTTCTTGTTCCCCCACAGTGTTCTATAAATAGCTAATATGCTATTTTCTTCTGATCACTGTAAACAGGGGTTTTAGGCATTTTTTTACCTATATCACCATGGAAACAAGATCTGTGTATACATCTATGATTAGTCTTTCTCTAGAGTAAAAGCCTTCATCATCTATGCAAGCTTACAGCTAATTGTTCTGCATAAGATATGGGTGTCTTATTCCTACCTACCGCTTTGGGAATTCATTTCATGTAGTTGCACATAACAGGCTGTAAAGAAGGTTTTATGAAGCCAATAATGCAGATATAATACTTGAGGAATTCCTTTTGGATTGGATATATTTATTTTTCCAAACATTTTGTTTGAGAGAAAACGAGATTGCTATCTGCTGTTTCCTTATTTTTTTGCAGGAAAGCAAAGGGTTGTTGACTTCCTCTCCCCTCCCTTCCTTCCTTCTTTCTGAAGGTACTGTACTCATCTGAAAAAAAAAAGAGAACGAAATGATTGTTCCTGTTCTCCTTCTTAAGTCATTTGAAAGATTGTCCCTGCTAGTTTTCTAAGTTTACTGCAATCTCTGCACGGGGGGAGGGAGACAGCGGGAGAGACAGATATTACAAACATCAGAGCAGGTAGTGTTTAGGGCAAGACGCCTTCCAGCTTCAACAACTGGTAAGTTAAGTAAAATGCTTTTATGTTGACTCTTTAAAAGTGAAATATATATATCTGCGTTTTTATGAAGAAAAGGCGTAAATCAGATACACATTTAACTGATAAAATAATAATAACCATATGCATTAATAAGCAGTCTATTTATGCTAGAGATACCTATAGTCTGGTTTTTAGATAGTGGTGCTATTACCATATGGTTTAACTTATGCAGATAGGAAAGTATTTTCCAATGAGGCTGATAATATTCATAATATAATCTCCTGTGAATTTTGTGTATGTAAGTCCTGCTGCGAGAATCTTGTTAAAGGCTTCACTAACTTTTTCCCAACAGTTTCAACAAGATTCACTGGGCCATTGCTAAAACACAGAGAGGAGCTGTGTCATACAGGAATCAATGTATTTCATTTTTCATCTGCCAGTACTGAATTCTGCTCCAACACACCAACCTGTGCTATATTGAGAGAAGAATTACTGGGGCTGTTTTTGTTCCCTACAAACTGTTTAGGATTACACATGTTTATCTCCACTCATCTGTGTATATGATTAGTCTAGGAACAATGACATTTAAGAGGTGGTAAGGTGGGAAAAACCAAAACAAAATAAAAAGTTCATACTGTGCAGTACATAACAGCACTGAGACTGATCATCCACATCAGTAATAGGATGAATTCAATTGGATATCTGTTTGCAATTTTTAGACATCAATAATGTTTTTCATGTTGATCATAAACGCATCAGAATGATCAGAAATGCTATGTGAAATGAATGACTGAATGCAAGAGCATTTTTCAAATATTCCATGAGAAAAATCCCCCTCTGCACACTTTTATAGAAGCAGAATGCAGAGGTGGGGCAAGAAATAGGACAGGTGTCCATTTCTTTGCAGAAAGAGAATTTGCTCATCTTATAATTAAGTGTCTCTTCATACTGCTGCTCTCTGAATGCAGGGTCCTCTGAAGTGCAGGATGGCCAGAACTCAGACAGAGAGGCCACAAATGGTAGGCAGATGTTGCAGAGGGCTGTCAGGGAGCTCCAGCTGCCCTGCTTCCAATCCTGCTCCTGCCAGGGTACCTGGGTCCTGGGACAACCTTCTGCTCCCACCCCTCACTGAAATAACTAGTGGAAAGGACTTTCTGCCTCCCTCTATCTGGTGTTTTTCTGCAGATTTTTCTATAAGAAGGAGTGATCTAGCACAAATTCAGCCCAGTTTCTGGGTAAGTTGTAGATTCCTTTTGCTTTGGGAGCAGCCAAAGGGGGTTTTTGCCAAAGGAGATGGAAATAACTTGTTTCTTGGACTCCTTAGCTTAATGTTGCCACTCAGTCTAGTTTGGTACGAGTTAATTGTTTATTTGGTTATACTTAACTCACAAATAATTTGTTATCTGCTAATAACAAATGTGTGCCAGGTCTTGCCACATCTTCCCCTTGAGACATCTGGGTTTATTTTTATGTCACTATATACTGATTCAAATTAAAGACATGATTTGGACAGTTGTTTTGAGAGTTATATGTCAAACACCTGGAATCCTAGTTTTTACATCAAGTGAGATGTATAAAAGTCTTCCAAACAGACACAGAAAATTACATAAGCTCTGTGTTTGTGGTGGTATTTTGTTCAAACTGCAGGCTATTGTCTGGATTGCAATCACTTTTAAGTTTTTGGTCTGGTTGGTTCAAAAGTTAACTTTGCCATGTAGGTGGAAGTAAGCTGCAGCCTTTAGGTCCAGGTTTTTTATTTCTGAAGATGATAAACCTTTTTTTTCCTTGATTTAGATTATATATATAATAAATCCTTTCTCTGAGACATTGTCTGAAAAACATAATATGAACACATTTATTCAAATCATATGTGAACAAAAGCAGTACATACTGTTTTAAAACCCAGCTGCCAATAATAAACACAGGGAAAGCTTTTTAAAAGGAATGCTTAGTAATTTGACAGTAAAAAACAGACCTTGAATTTTGAATTTCATTCTTAAATTTTACCCATTAGGTTTATGTTTCTTTAAAAAATACTTCTTTGCTATCCTTTGGGGTTTATTTATTTTCACTTCGTATAATTTATTGCTAGAACCACTGTAACATGATTTAGTGCAACAGGAGCTTGTATCTTTCTTAAGGTGTCAGAAAGATGATTTTTTGGCTGACATGTTATCCCTACATCACTGAGATATTTACAGCAGAGAAAGGTATGGTCTGAGTCTGTATTGGGTACAGATTTGCTACTACTTTATGGCACAAATTAAATATTTGTGCAATGAATTTTCAGTTATTCACCCCAATGTTTGTGAGAGACTGGACTGTTAATGATTAATGACTCCACTCTTGAAATTTAAGCCAGGAATAAAAAGAGACAATTTGGGTTTATTTTGCTTAAAGCCTTACTGCTTCTACTGGTAGTAGCCATATTTGTGTATGTAACATAAATAAGTAAATGATAACTCAGTGTATGTATTTCCTCAGAGAATTATTTCAAGAAATTATTTCCATTTGATGTGTTCTCAATTATAATGAAATAAAATATAGAAGATTATTGCTTTTGGAAATAGAAAAATAAAGCTATAACAGTAATGGCAGAGAGGTTACAGAAACAATTTGTAGCCTGTAGAAATCCCAAGTTAACAGGTCTGTTTCAAAAAGCATAGAAGCTAAGAGAAGTCTTTCTGTAAATGTCATAGCCTTTTTATATTTAAGACCAGTTTCTTTAATGGTGTAAATTATTGAGACATCTTGGGTACAGAATAGTAGCAGAGTTACATTCCTAGTAATATTTTGGCATGTCTAATGTACATTTTTGGCCAGGAGATAATTTGAAGCTTTGAATCCCAAGGAGATGTTTTTGTGTTTTGTTTTTTTTTAATATTTTTTAAATTGTTTTTCATTCTTACAAAAGACCACATCAACTAGAGCCTTGTTTTAGGATTATCTAGGTGCAGAGCAAATAGTGGTGGCTTGAAAGACATGATGTGCATCTCACAGATAAGCAGTGTTGTGTCTTTAAGGTACTGTTCCTTATAGTGCCACAGAGATAGACAGGATTTAGAGCAGGGTAAGCACAGGGGGATGAATCGTGGAAGCAACCCAATTCAAGCCCCATACACTGAGACAGAAGAGTAAGGATTTCAGACAGAATTTACATTGTTTTGAATCTTTAAAATTGCAAAGACTCAGTGGTGCAGAAAGGTTTCTGAGTGGACTGCTCCACTCTTCTGGACATGTCAGCAGAATCTCATAAGAAACAAAAGCAGTGAAGGCTGCATAAGGTAATGGGGATTTTCTGTGGCTGTGCTGAAAGGACACAAATCAACGGTGTGTAAGACAACATCTTATTTACTAGTTGATAAAAAATGATCCATAGTTTTTGCATACCAATGCATGGTCTTCAGTACCAAGTGATCCAATCAAACTGCTCCTTCAAACCTTATAAGTGCTGTGAGATTGCTATGGATTGTTGTCAAATTATTCATTTGTTTGGTGAACTAATTTTATAACCCAGCACATTTTAAAAAATAAACCACCTATTAAAACCAAATAGTTACTTTCTTCTTAAATTAAGTAATTTTCCATGATCTAGTTTACAATCTCAGAAGATTATATTCAGATTTTTATCCAGTGAAGAGGCCTAAATTAATCCTCAGCAATTATTTAAAACAAGCATTGAGCTGCATGCTGGATGTGAATTTTTTGTTTATATCTATCTGACAGGGACTAGTCTTTCTTTCTTGACTCCTAGAATACTAATGATCCAGTGAAAAATATTACTTAATGTTTTGTTTAAATCCTTATAAATGTAAGAACATTTTTACTTGTTTCTGTAAAACAAATGTTTTTATACATGTTACTGTGCTCTTCATCAATGAAACACAGTTTTTTCATTCTCAACCAACAATTCTTAATGTACTGTAAAAACTGTAATGTCAATGGTAGTAATTAAGCTAAGTAATCATGTAGTAAAAGAAAATAGTTTTGTGCTGTGGAGGTTATAAGAAGAAATTATATGGATAATTGTTTTATTCTTTTTACTTTCATTTCTAATTTCCTGCTTTTGATGTTAGAAAAAACCTGTTATTAATTATTTAAATGTAGGACGAAAATGCCACCCTATTTTGAATTTCTCTTCTCTTCCTTCCTCTTCTGCCATGGAAGCTAAAACCCTAGCACGTTTTCCTTATACTTTGTGGATGTGTAGGAATTAAATTGATTTAAAGGAAAACTCTTAGGTAAGAAGTGTGTTTTCTGAAAACCTATTTTTCCCTTGTCAATCTTCAAAAAAGTAAACCTGGAAGCATCCAACTTTTCATCTGCATATGCTCATTAGAAGCACTAGAATTCAGAGAACACTGAAAAATACAAAGGTGACAATCGGTTTAATTACTAAAAGTGATAAGTTAGTCTCCTACACAGATAACATCATATTTTGCTAAGAGCTTGAGGCAGGTAAAACTTATTTAAAATTGAGAGCAAGGCTGTGAGAAGGAGCACACATTTTTAGCTGTTCTCCTTGGATCATGTGGTAGTAGAAGGGATGTTAATGCACTGCAAGTAGCCATCACCCACACAGTCCTCTGGCTGCAGGTCTGATGAAGAATAGACACCACCTGATCTCCCTGCATGGAAGAACCTTGGTCTTCCCACAGTGGAGGACCAGATGTGGTGGCTCTGGGAAGGAACCATGTGGCTTTGCCCCTTCCTCTTCTGACACCAGCCTCTCTGATACTCCACAAGTGTGTTGGCTGGGAAGGACAAGATGACTTCTAGCCTTCCTTTTAATGTGCTTGTTGCTATTGCTGGTTGTGAAAGAGACACTTATACTTCAGTCTTCCCTTTTTAGGGTTGCGATGTAACTGTTAGACCCTTTTTGCAGTGATGAAAGACTTCCTGTTTTGGTGGGCTCTATGCTGGATGTGTCACTTAAAACTTTTTAAATTGGAAAGATTATGTGCTCTTACCAACATGCACGGGATCTAAATCAACGTGAAAGGTATCCAGGATGGATGTGT